AGGGACAGTGAGGGGTGGGAAGCTGGGGAGAGATAGCAAGGGGAGAAATGCCAGATGTAGGTGATGGGGAGGAAGGCAGCAAATCACACTGCCACATGCAATTTTGCATGTTCTTCACATGTACCCCAAAACCTAAAATGCAATAAAATAAATAAATGGGGGGAAAAAAAGATAGAAAGCAAGGTGTCTATACTATAGAGAGCTATGCTATGCTCTTAAATAGGGAAAATGTTGTGTTTCCCTACTATAATCCTCTTTCCAAATCTCTGGCTTGCAATTTTGACTTCTTGGAGCAGCAGAAGCCTTCACCTCAATGTTATCCTTCTTTCCTAAACTTCCCATTAAGGGGTTTGAGTTGGGAGAAATCTGATTTGGGAATATAAACATATATTTTCCTTGGCCTCAACACCCCCACCTATCAAAATGAGCCCCATGTCTGACCTGGGAACAACCCCAAAGGATGAGAGCCAAAGGAAGACTGACCTGGTTGCGATGATTATCTCTGTGGGGTACTTGGCCTTCAGGATTTTGTTCAACTCAGTAGCTGCAGATTCTACGTGTTGGATGGCAGCAGCCTAGGGGCAAAAGGAGTTCTTAGCCCTGGACTGTTAGTGCTATAACACAGTGTGCTGCCCATCCTCATCCCCCACAGCCTCATCATTTCTTACTGACTCTACTAGCAACTCAACTGCCTCTCTAGAAATGATTGTGATCAAAGAATTCTTGTTGAAGGTCAACAGAGATGATCTTAGATCTATGCTCATTCTAAATATTTAGATGTATTTCATTTTCTCTTAATAATCAAAACCTCATATGAAGGAGGTACTATTTGTTTCATGTTTCAAATGAACAAACAATCTCATATTACATAGCTAGTAAGGAATAAAGCTAGATTCAAATCTACATCTTTTCAATTCTAGAATGTAACTTATTTAATAGTATTACTATTAATAATAACAGTATCCACTTATATAGTACTGACTATGTGCCAGGCTCTGTTCTAACCTACATGTACATGTTTTTTCATATAATACTCATAACAACCCTATGAGATAAAGACTATTATTATCTCCATTTTACAGAAGAGAAAGCTGAGGCACAGAGAAGGGAAAGATGATAAGTTGTAGAGCCAGGATTCAATTCCAGGTGATCTGGCTCTTGAGTCTGTGCTCTTAATTACAACTTCTATTCCTTCTTCTCTATCACCCTTGACATTCAAACATCTACCAAGAACTTATAATTATATTTTTTCAGTATGTCTCAAATGTATCCACTTCTACTCATCCCTGCTACCACTTCACCAGTCCAAATTACCATCACCTCTTGCCTAGACAATTACCACATCTCCTAGCTTTTCTCCTTTCCTCTAGTCTTTTATTCCTTCAATTGTTTCTGCACATACCATGGCACTCCTCTGGTTAAACCCCTTCTCTTTGACAGCAGACTGAATAGATGACCAGATATGTGATAAAGCATGCACAGGAAAATGTTAGTAGTAGATCTACCATTTCAACTTTCATAAATGTAGAAATTTTCATAATAATATAAGAAAATCCCCTTCTATAATTCTAATGGCTATTAGGATGAAACTCAAACTTCCTACTGGGGTTTATCAGGCCCTTCCTGGACTGGCCCCTGATTACTTCTCTAGCCTCATCTTTAGTCATTCTCCTTGAATGCCCCCTCCCTGGCCCCTATGCATTAGCCATTATGAATGTATTTCAGATTTGTGAATATTCCATGCTCTCCGTTGCCTTTGGAACAATACACGCTGTTCCAACTGTGTGGAACAGGCCTCCCCTTTCTTATTCTCCTGGTTAGCTCCCTGTGGATCTCATCTCTTCTGAAACGGCCCTCCTTCTGAGTGGCTTTCCCTGATTTCCCCAGACTGAGATAAGTATTCTTGCTATGTGTTCCCAACCCCCTCTACTTCCTTATATACTAACACTCATACTACTTGATTAAAACGATTTATTTTCCCATCTCTTCAAGTAGACTATGTCATTCTTCTTTACCCACTAGCATACACAAACAGTTCCTAGAACAATATCTCACATATGGTAGTTGCTCCATAAATATTTTGAATGAATAAGTAAATGGGTGAATGAATTATATCCCCAATGCTTAACACGGTTCTTGGTAAATAGCTGCTAACTGACACATCACCAACCCTCAATGGTCTCATCCTCGTCCATGGACAATGCCAAAGCTTCTCTCTGGGTTTTGCCAATTATTTCACTGTGTAATAAAGATGTTGGTCTGAATTACAGCTGAACAGTAGTTACCTCAAATCGTGGTACATCCATTTCAACCTGTCCTTTTAGTGGTGGGATCTGTCTGGGAGTCTCACGGATCATCACACTCCATCTGAAATGAATTTCAAAGACAGATATTTAAGGATCTGTTTCATCACTGGTAGGAATTAATGCTTCAAAGGTGAAGACAGAAATAAAAATGTTTATGTGGTGAGGGGAGGTGGGTTGTAGGGTATGCCCAAGCTATCTCTGGTCACCTAATCTTAAGGTATACCATAAGAGAGACCTCTGTCTCATGACTTCTATAGGCCAGTGTGATGGAAATAATTCCCTTCCCTTTACGGGGTTCTCATAGAACAGTGCTACTTAACCAGAGGTAACCATCAAGATCACCTGAGGTGCTTTTGCACAATACACAATCCAGGGCCCTGCCCAAGACCTACTGAAATCTTTGTGGTGAGGCCCAGGTTGATGTTTTAAAAGAGTTCCCCAGGAGATCCTTATGGGCAGCAATAAATCAAATACTCATAAATACACCAGCATAGAAAGTCTTTTTTTCCTCAGGAGATAGAATAATACTCTCTCTTCTCTAGAGCAGTGACAATGTAAGCAAGTTATTTCTAAACTCTCCCTCCATCCCTTCTTTAGTTTCTTTGAAAATCTTGTGAAATTATAGACTTTTCTCTAAGAGAGAATATGCTTAAACAGATCATTGGCTCTGCAATTTGAAGAGGGTTCATAGAACCCTTGAACTTTGTCCATGGGGCCCCTACTCCAGAATCCTTTAGGTTTTTGGTGTTTTTTTTTTTGTTGTTGTTGTTTTTTGTTTTTGAGATAGGGTCTCACTCTGTTGCCCAGGCTGGAATACAGTGGCATGATCATGGCCCACTGCAGCCTTGACCTCCTGGTAGAATCCTTTAGTTTTGAAGAGGGGCTTCAATGATGTTTGAAGGATACATGGTAGACCCTGGCTTCCCAAGAGACAAGCCCCACACAACTCACAAACTGTTCTGCACTGAAGCCAGAAAGGAAATGAGGCTCTATCAGAGAGGCTAAAGTATTCCTGATTGAAATGATGTAACTGATGTGGGACAGGAACAGGCACAAGGGCCTGGTCTTTCGGCCACTTACCTGTCTAGAAATCTCACACTGGCCTGTTCCACTCTGTTGAGGATGTCCAGAGGTGACTTGCTTTTGTTCCAGAATGCACCCCAGCCCAGGACACGAGCCAGATCATTGCCGGTTCCAAGTGGGATGACTGCCAACTGACACTGCAAGAACAAAAGGAGATACCCTTTTCAGACAGTCCTACCAAGCTTCACCCATGAAAGAACCTAGAGGGAACTCTTTGGGAAGAATTATGGTCTTAAAGCCAGTGGTTTTAAGGGACTTCAGATTCTGGGGAAGGTAATGAGAGGATGTTTGCAATTGGGTGAAATTTTCCCTAAGGAATTGGACCCCAATATTAACAACACAGAACCTACTAAGTAAAGGGAAAAGTTGCTGGAATATGTCAATATTCATGGCCATGCTTATAAAAGAGAAATATAGCTGTGAATTTCTATCTGGGCTGGGCCAAGGAGGTGAACTACCTCAGGAGACAAAACTACTGGAGTGAGAAGAGCAGGGGGCTGCCTAACAAGGAGACATGGAGGACAGTTTCTGCCACTTTTGAGACTCAAGAAAGAAAATCAGTGGCCACAGGAGGGAAAGGAAACTGGGGGACAAGTGCTGTCTGTGACCAATTCTGTTTCGTTTGCTCTCCTCCCCTTCAACTCTTCACTTTGAAGCCTAGGGAATGGAGCACTGCTCATTCTTTCTGTCAACTTTATACAAATAGACAACCAGAAAATAGTCTAGATGAGCAGGCTTAGATTGGGAATCTACCAGTCAGGATGACTATGAAACCTGTGGGAAACATATTTTACAGAGATGAAGGGTGAAGACTTCAGACTTCTTGGGATAGGCAGCTGCATACCCCTACTCTTTCTAGCAATGGCTAAACTGAGTTATCCAGGGACTTACCCTTTCATGTAATCCAAAGGCATCAATCAGAGATAAGACCCAGCTCACGCTGCCATCTCCACCACAAACAAGAATGCGAAAGCGAGCAAAGTTCTTGAACATGCACAGCCTAGAAAGACAAAGAGGAAAGGAGGTCATTTCATGAACAGATGGGTTTTGTAACTTTTCTTACAATGTGTCAGGACACAAGGATTGCTGCTTTGGCACTCTGGTAACAGACTACCTGCCTTCGTTCCCTTATCCCTTATCTCTCTGTGTATCTAAGACCATAGACAACCCCAGAGATCAGGCTTTGCCTCAACTCATCCTCTTTCTGTGCCCAGCTTTGCTCTGGAAAACACTAGTAACCTAACCAAACCCATTGGCCATTGGCCACTTGCATGGTGGCCAGTGGCCAATGGGCTCACGGGAACCAGAACTGAGCAGCCAGATGGTCCCAAAATATAACAGGTCTGTAGTGGAGATATATCTATTTCGTCCCAGGAAAGAGAGTGGCAGGAAAAGTAGATAGCAGTATCCATTTGCCTCTTTCTCCACTTCTGGTTGAAGGATAGTTTTACTTTTTCCAACCAGAAAAGATAAAGCAAATCTGGGAGGGGCTTGAACATGGGCTTGAAGAGATTTCTGGGAAAGGGCTAAAAGTCCTCCTACCAGCCAACCCAAAAGGCTCTGTAGTTATGTGTTTGTGTTCTGACTTGGGAAAATAGACCTTTCCTGCCCAAATACAAGAACTGATTCCAAGAAGCCTATCCTAGTTTAGAATGTATAAAGGGAAGACTCCCTTACATACACATGGGGTACATGCTTACCCGGCTTCAGGTCCACCCTTCAATAGGTCAAACACTTGAGACGGGTTAAGGTATTGCTTGAATTTTCGGAGGAAGACGATCCCTTGGTGATCTCCACTTTTGGAGTTGATGAAGATGAGCAAGGGACATGAACAGGTTGATGACCAATCAAGATTCCAGAAGTCCGAAGATACTACTAATTGACCTGAAAAAGAAGAAAAAAAAGAACAGACCCGTTGAGATGGAAATGAGACATGACTTAACATCACATTTTGCAATAACTTTTTGAGTATGAGTCTCAGTCTTTTGAGAATGAGGAGCAGAGGAAAAGTCAAGATACCACCCAGAAGGGCTTAAAAGTATTTGTCCAGCTGTGGGTGGGAGGAGGTGGGTTGAGAAGACCCATTTGTTTTAGCCTGGGTGAAAGGGAGCTTGAAGGAAATCTACTTGAGCAGATTTCATTACTGGTTTGCCTGGAAAAATCGAAGGCAGGTTTCCTCTATGGGCCAATTCCCACTCTCTGGCCAGTGAAGGCATCCTAAGCCAGCTAGCCAGTCATGCACCAAATTTTTAGGACTTGCCAGGACTCACAGTTACAAGGGGAATCTTGTACAAACTGGGTCCCCTCAGTAGCATAGCTCAGAAGTAGTTACTTTCCCTGAACACATTATCCAAAAGTAGTACCCCTTTCAACAATTTTTTAACTAAAGTTATATGTTGACACAATGGTAGTTAAAACACATTAATCCCTTCATTTAATAAATATGTATGGAGGGCATTCTCTGTGCCTGCTTTGTGTCTTGAGACTATAGTGGTAGACAAGATAGAAATAGTCTCTGCCCTTGTGGAACTTATATTTTAATGAAGGTCACAGACCATAACAAATAATTATAAAAAAGAATTTGTCACGAAGGAAGATAAAGTAGGGAAAGGGGGTAGAGATGAGAAGGGGTGTTATTTTAGACAGAGTGGTCAGGGATGGCTTCTCTCAGGAGGTGACATTTGAGATGAAACTTGAATGAAGTGAGAGAGTGAGCAATACAGATATCTGAGGAAGAGTTTTTTGTGGGGGGAGCAGGAAGAAGAATAAGTGCCAGGACCCTGAAAAGGGAGACTATCTGGGGTGTCCAAAATATACTGTGAAGGAGAAAAAGAGCAAGGCGCAGAACAATGTGCATAGTATTAAAGGGGATGGATAATAATATCTATTTATATTTACTAGTATATACACGAAGAACTACTGGAAGGTATTTAAAAAATAATGGCAGTATTTAACTGTGAGTGAGGATATGGGGGCTGTAGGAGATTGAGAAGATCAGAGAAAAGATAGCAGCATGACTTTTCATTAAATATTGTGTGTATGTGTATTTCTTTTTTAAAAAAAAACTCAACCATGTTAATCTATTAGCTAGAGAAGAATTAAGAAATAAGAAAAAAGAATTATACTAATGCTGTCTATAAATTAAATAGCCATGAGGGTGTAAACTAGAGTGAGCATAGGAAGCTTCTAAATAAAGAGAAAATTCTGTAATTAAGGCAACTTGAACTTTAGCATAAAACCTCATTTGGTCACAGGTGGGAAGACAATGGGAAGTAGCCCCGGCAGGAAGGCAGTCCCAGGAGACTACAGAGGCAGCCCCATCTAGCATTTTCCCCTGAGGAAGAGAATATCTGAATTTGAGCAAGGCCAAGTTTATCAAGAGAATCTTGCAAACAAGGTGACAAAGATGAGTGCCACTGAGGGCTGAAATATAATAATGTTAGGAAGATTTATAACCAGGTAAACAATCCTTCCCACAAGATTGCTTTGAATAGACTGATGTTAATCATAAGGGAGTGTCCAGTATTATTCCACAATTTTAATTGACAATTCACATAGAAACATAGAAGGCTGGCTTGTGAACTTTGAAGTACTCAAAGCTGGAGGAAGAGATACTGGATGACAGAATCAAGACTGAAAAATGACCTCAACAGGCTGATCAGTCAAAGTCCAGGGATGAAATTGTACAGGGAATAAATATAAAGCTTGCCCTTTAGGCTCGAGGACATAAATTGTTCCAGAACAGGACAATATGAACTTGACTTGGCAGCATCAAGTGTGAAAAGAGCTTAGGGGATTTAGTTGACTTCAAGCTCCTGATGAGTCAACAGCCTGAAAGAACCTTTCAAAAAAAAGCTCATGTTTCTTTGAGCTGCATTAATACAATCACAGTGCCCTAAACAGGGAGCCAACAGTCCCAATCAAATTTCTTCTGTTCACTCCACAGAAGGATGCTAAATTGGCATAGGTTGGCTTACCGTTTTCTTCCCATACTTTTAAAATCCTCCTTTACAAATGTTAACTCATTTAACCTTCATGACACACCTGAATACAATTATCATTCCTTATTGGCAGAAAACAAATGACAGATTAATAAGAGAGGTTAAGTAACTTGTCCAGGGGCATGCATTCAATTATGGAGTGTGTTTCTGGGACTAGTAGTATCAGCAGCATCTGGGACTTGTTAGAGATGCAAATTCCTGGGCCCCACGCAGATCTATTGAATCAAATGTTCTGGGGGTAGTGCCCAGAAATCCGTGTTTTAACAAGCCTTTCAGATGCTTCTGATACAACAACCACTGCACTTCATTACTTTTCCTTCACATGAGCCAGTGATACTATCTTAGTCATTGCTCAGCACTGAGCCTTACATATAGTCAGTATTCAGTAAACGTATTAATGAATTCATGTAACAAATCTTGACTGTGTGTATATCATATACCCAGTTCTGAGTCAAGTGATAGGGGTACAGAGAGTTCACAGTCTGGGGTGGAAGACGGACACCATTATAATGTCATGTGTTAGGTACTTTGAGATATGTGTTCTTGGTTTATAGCAAAAGAAGTAACTGATTTGTTTGGGGGAGTGGGAAGAGGCCATTACAGAAGCTGTCAAACAGAGAAAACAAAATGTTTTGATTTTGAGCTGGACCATAAAGGATGAGAGAAGGAATTTATCAAGAAGACTGGATAGGAAAAAGGGATAATTGGAAGGAATTTTCAGAAATTAGAGTCTATTGACTGAACAAATACATGTGTGAATGGATGGGTTGACTCAATGCTAGCAAGGCCTTTCTCAGAAAGTCATGAGCTGTATGCCTTCATGACTTCAGCTGAATGCTGAAGAAAGGATTCTCTAGCTCAGCCAGGGGGCATTGAACCAGATCATCTTTAAGGTCCTTACATCACTAAGATTCTATGACTGGAAGATTCAAAAGATTCCTCTGGGATGGGACCTTCCAGTAGGAAACTTACCCATTAAAGGGCACATGGCCACAACCAAGAAGCCAGGAAGAGTCAGGACGATAGGGAAGTCTTGAAAGACATTTCAGAGAAGACCCAGGACAAGTAATGCATGATAGAAAGAAGTGCTGGAAGAGTGAGATCAATTGGACCAAGATTGCAGATGACTAGGAGGAAAAGCTAAAAGCGAACTCATGGGGTGTTAAATAAGACACCACACAAAAAGAATAGATTATCCCATGTGCTTCTGAGTAATATTACATTATTAATGGACAGAAAAATAAAGAATGCCATTATCTGGCAATCTACAACAAGAATAAGAACTGATGTAGGATAGGAAGAAACAAATTTTTAAAACACCAACACAAGGACAGGAAGCACAGAATATGTTTGGCCCAGTTACAAAGGAGAGGTGGCAAGCCTCTTAACGCTTATTTGGGGTGATTAGTGGCATGCTGAGGTGGGCCATCTGCTTAAAGACATCTTCGTCAGGTCCCTGTGGGGTTGAGCAAAATGTCTCAGATTCAAAACTAGGTTGATTTCACTAGCAGCCTGATTTTGCTCAGCTGACCAGTTTGCTACTTTTCCTTTTGTATCAACTGCATCTTCACCTAGTCCCTCATTCTTCAATCTAGGAAAGTATATCTTATTTACTAAGTCATCAATCTTATCACCTCTTTGGTCAACTACCTGGTGGGTGACTCTGTGTGGATAACTATTTGAGTAGATCTGAGAATAATATATGCATGTATACCTGAGTGAATTCAGTTTTGTGTCTGTACATGTCATTATGGGGACTCATTCTATGTACTAAGGTCCAGCTATATCTGTGTTATGGTTGGAAAAATAACTGAAAGAGTCTATGGTGGCTCTGTGTGTGTGTGTGTGTGTGTGTGTGTGTGTGTGTGTGTGCGCACGCGCGCACGCATATATATGAGCACGCAGATACACATGTGGTATGTCTAGTTCTAAAACTATGTCGTAATGGCTACAGGAATCTTTGCCCCCTTCTGTTCTCTAAGGAAACCATCCACTCTTCTTTCTTTGCTTCCAGTTGATGCTAGCTCTTCCCTGGCAATGAAGTGAGCAACTAGCATCTATATGGAGATAATCTGTAAGTCAGTGAAATGAGGGTTCATTAATCACTCTTGGACAAGTGGATATCCCACATGTTAGAGATGGACAAATTAGAAAATTAGAGAAATATAGATTAAAATATTCCAGGAAGAATTTGAACTTTCCTCCAGTAAGCAAAATTGACCATATATAGAATGAAACTAACCATACACAAACTGAAATGTATGAGCAGTGTATCTCTTCTCTGGCTTAGTGAAATAGTAGCATGCCAGTGGTAAGTATATTAGATTTCTAAATTTCTTAGTGTTAGTAAAATAGGTTAGGTCTTTTAAGCTGTGATATGTGATTTTGATCTTGAAAGCTCTCACTCTTTAATAATAAGTAATGGGAGAAGCAAATGAACAAGTCAATGGCAAAAAGGAGAATCTCTCAGAAGAAGCAAAGAAAAAGTAGGGAAGGAGAGGTGAACTCAAAAGGCAAGTGCCAAAGAGTGAACCATCCCTGTGGGGTCTGCACTATTTATTAGGCTAGGAGATTAGGTATTTAGTTGCCCAAGAAGTTGAGGGATTTAATTTTATGGTCCTTTGAGGTTATGTTTTTAGACACTTAGGGCCTTTACATATTATCATCTGTCCTCACAATAGATAGCTTCATTCCCATTTACAGATGCGGAAAGCAAAGCTCAGAGAATGTAAGTGGCTAACCCAACATCATATATCTAGTAAGTGACTAAAACTCATAATTACCTGGCTCTTGTTTTTTTTTTTTTTTTTTTTCCTTACGTCATGCTACCTCCATGTCTTACTTATTCACAAAAGCTATACAAAATACCCTTCTCCTTGGCTTCTGCTTTTTTGGTTCTAGCATTGCTAGACCTCTTAATAGAAGCCTCTATACAAAGTTTATTCTTGCTGCATTGATTTTATTACTACCTCCTTTCTGCTCAACTTCCTATAAATGGTTAATATTCCTAATATTTCTTATTTCCAAATGTCTCTACCATTCCTTTGGCGCTTATCATATGATATATTAAATTGTTCATTTTTGTTTTATATTAAGAGCCTGAATCCACGATAATCAGTAGCTCTGGCCATGGCCATATCTTAGATCTTTCTGTAGCCTTCAGACACCTTGTGAATAGAGTTCTTAATAAATCACTAGTGTCCAGGAATTGACAAAGCATCAATGAAGAGTGTTGGCACAATGGTCATGTTAGTTTCACATTTAGGAACAAAGTTGGTGTTAGTTTCCATTTTAAAAGTAACATAACCTGGCCTTCATGTAGTTCTTCCTTGTCCACCTGGACACAAACTTGTTTCATGAATTATCTTAGTATTTGAAAATCATGAAAACGCTGAAATCAATTCTGATCAGTCAGAAATAATTGTGACCAAGCTACAGAGAATATGCCCACATACATATACACCAGAAAGAACAACATTCATGATATAGAAGGTAAGAGAAAAATGAGCTATCTATATACACATGCACATTTCTACTTCCCCAAAATGTTTGGTTGAGGAGAATAATTTAATTGTAGCCCTTCTTTCCAGCCTTTGCACCTTCCCTCCATCCCCAATGTGCTTCTGAGATTAAGACTTAACTACTCACCATCGCCATTGGGATCGCTTAGAGCAGTCGGAGGAATGACTGATGAGCGATGGTTTCCAAAGCAACATTCCTTGGAAAACCGCCTTCTACAGTCATCATGCACCTGAAACGACAAGAGCAGAGAAAAAAAAGGAAGGGGGAGAGAAAAGGATACCATTGATCAGTTTTGAGTTCCAATATCAAGATTTAGATTCTTAGTATTTAATCTCCCTTTCTGAGATTTGGTGCCATATATATATATCCCTAACTCACCTGAACACCCCCATTCTACTTCGAGTCTACATTGTCCCTCAATGTGACCTCAGAACTCTGATCCTTTCAAAGGTGACTTTCAGAAGATACCCACCTACAGGCACTGAGAAGTCACCAATCCTAAGGCACAACCTTAGTGGCCTACAGAATAGGGAATTTACTTGCAGTATAGAAGGTTTAATACTAATGATGTAATATTAAACTTCAATCCTTAAAACAACAGGTGTTGGATTCATTTTAAAAACGAGGATATCAAAGCTCAGAGAGGTAAAGAGTTTTGTCCAAGGTCAAATAGTTGGGAAGTGACAGAGCTGAGACTCTGCTGCCTTTCCCACAAGTGGCCATTCTTTCCAGATTTCTGACATCTTCATGTGCCACTTCCTAGAAAATTACACAGTTTGTAGCGGGATATGAACAAGATCTGGTTATTCAAACGCTGAAAAAAAGCCAGAGGACAACCAGAGTCTTCTAAAAGGAAGATCATACTTCAGTTTCTTCTTGTCTAGAAAACTCAGTTTGCGAGAAGAATCTAAATGGTTAGAAATCTAGATCAGGATCTCTCAACTTCAGCCTTACTGATATTTTGGGCCAGATGGTTCTTTGTTATGAGAGGCTGACCTGTGCATTGTATGAGGTTCAGCAGAATCCCAGGCCTCTACCCACTATATGTCAGTAGCACTTCCCTCCACTCAGAGTTTCAACAATAAAAAATGTCTCTATGCATTGACAAATGTCTCCAGGGTGTGCAAAATTACCCCCATTTGAGGACCACTGGCTTGGAGGCACGGTAGTGTTGTAGCTAAGAGTGTGGTCAGCTGGGCGTGGAGGCTTATGCTTGTAAGCCCAGCACTTTGGGAGGCCAAAGTGGAAGTACCGCTTGAGCCCAGGAGTTTCAGACCAGCTTGGGCAGCATAGCAAGACTCTGTCTCTACAAAAAAAAAAAAAATAATAATAAATTAGCTGGGCATGGTGGCGTGTGCCTGTAGTCCCAGCTAATCTGAGGAGGCTGAGGTAAGAGGAGACCATCTCACTTGAGCCTAGGAGTTCAAGGCTGCAGTGAGCTGTGATTCTGCCACTGCACTCCAGCCTGGGTGACAGCGTGAGACCCCATCTTAAAAACAAAAAACAAACCAAAATAGAGCATAGTCTTTGCAGAACTATATATAAATAAAGACTCTTGCTTACTAGCTGAATGACCTTGGACAAATCACTTCACTTTTCTGACCCTCACTTTCCTCATCTGTAAAATGGGAACAATGAGGCCTGGTTTAGGCTTATTGGAAGGACTAAATGAGATTATGTATATAAAGCACTCAGTATATAGTGGCAATAATAATGTGTTAATATTATTAACCATTTTTAATTAACAAAGATTACAAGTTCCTAGGAAATGGTGAATGAGAAAGGGAGAAGGTTTCTCAAAGGCAGACTCAGAACTTATTTTTTAACTGCCCATACTGCCATTAGAGAGTTCAGCTTTTCCCATTTGTTAGTAGGCCTTGCCAATTAAGAACCAACAAAGATGATCTTAAATCTTTCTCCCGAAGGCTCCATAGCCAGATCTGGAAAGTCAGGATACTAAGCTTTATACTATGGAATCTGTTTAACCTATTTTGAGATAAGGGTTTCTTAGGTTTCTATGTATGTGTATGTATGGTCAAGCTCTAATCCACCCCTTCAAGAAGATGGGCAGAGTCTTACCGTAGAATTACACCAGAGGCAGCGGAAGTCTTGAAGTCTCTGATAACTGCCACAGCTCTCATGACATACTGCACACTGAGAGTCAACAGGCATGTTTCCTTCTGCCCATTGATGGGGCATGTTCTGCAGAAGGATAAAAAGACACAGAAGGTAGAAGTTAGAGACATAAGGAGAAGAAGGGGCAACTGGAATAACTGTACTACTCCATGGAGGACATTAGGTAAATGCCCCATGTCCTTTATGGTCCTGCCCTGCCTACTCTAATGCTAGCGACCAATGACAAGTGGAAGAGGGAGGTTCATTATTCCAGATAAGATGGATTGTGAACCTGGGACTTTGCTTATCTGGATTGAGGAAGAAGTCTTCCTTCTCCTGTGTATCCTGGTGGAAGGGGAGATGGGAGAGGGCAACTGTAGGAAGACATGACTGATACTTACTACTTCATCTGCAGGCAGGAGGAGGTCGTCAGTGAGAGACAATGTATTCCACTTGCAGTCTTTGCTTGCTCTCAAAGCACATAATCTGTGAGATTTCACTTTGCACACTGTGAGAAGAGGAAGAAAAAAGATGAATGTGAATCTGGTAACAGTGAAGATTCTAATTCCCTTTCCTAAGCTGATCTGAAAATTAGAACACCAATGCATTCTAAATAGTTCTAATGCACCTCCAAATACCTATTTCCAATAGATTCCAGTTCCTTTTTATTCTTACCAGCTAATCTTTTTACTATCCAACTTGAATGAAAATTGATGGTTAGAATGATTTCTGTCTTTTTAATACTTGTGATCATATAGTCCTATCCCCCCATAACCATCCCTCTATTTTAATATCCCCATGCTAGTTTCCTCCCTTTTTCTTTCCTCAGTCGGGGTTAACTTCACACCAGAGTCAGTAACCTAGTGTGAGTTAATGATACTAAAGCCACATGAGTTCCTTCATCCCCATATCTACCCACTGAGCTTCACTTCCTGAAGGAATCAGAAAGGTACCTTCACAGATGATGACATCTCTAGATAAGGCAGGAATGCTCTCTCGACAAACATTGCAGTGCTGGGTCCGGTGACTGTAGCTGGAGTACCAATAGTGCATTCCAACAAGAAAAGGGTTGTTTTCTGCTGCAGGTATCTAAAATAAATAAAAGAGGAGAGAATGGAGGATGAATCACAGAGACAGATTAAAGAGGGCCAGAAAATTGGCTGTTGAGTCTAAAATGGCCTGCTGTATAGGTGTCAGAGCGTGTGAAGGGGAAGATTAAAAGTTGGAACCAATTCCTGGGACCTGGGATTTTTTGTGTGCATTTTTGTTTGTTTTACCAGTCATTTTAGAAAAGAAAAATAATAGAGGGGTAGATCTTGGAATCGAAGCTGAAGGCAAGAGTAATGATCTTTATACTGCTTGGCCAATCACTTTATTGGCTTAGATCAAGCAAAAATGTGTTCTGTTAGCTTTGGCCTTGGTTCTCTTTAAGTAGTAAGTAGAAGGAGGTACTAAGTTGGAAATTCAGTGATATCCAAATGTTCTAGCCAGGGAATAAAGAGAGGTGGCAAGGCTCTGACTCTGGGCTAAGAAATACTCAGTAAGGCTTTAACTCCTTCCTGGAGGTATACACTTCCCTTCCTGGCTGCCAGGTAAGCAGAGCATTGCTTTACCTGGACAACAGTTTCATCTCACGGGATTCTTTTAGGAATCCCTTCAGTATTCTTTTAGGAATACCACGCTCTGACTGCCTACAGCAGTTTGCTAGTTAATCAACTTAGTTCATTCAATAATCCACTAAACAAACATTCACTGAGTAAATACGTTGTGTTTGCCACTTTTCAAAGCATTTGAGACATAGTGAACAAGACACAACCCCTGCCCACATGGAGTGGCATTCTCATTGGTGTCCTCTTTCATGGTATTGAGTTTGACATTTCTTGTTAACATGCCTTAACATTTTTTGTTAAATGCTGCATTTGTATATCACAGCCTGACTTTCACGTAGAGAAGGCACAGGGGTATACTACCAACAGTTTTGAAATTGAAAGAAGGGAAGGGTGGGAACCAAAAAATCTCCAAGGACTCTTATACTTTTTCTCTAATTCCTGTGAATGTCTGATTTTCTCCCTTTCTGCCTTCCCCTGAACTTTAGACACAGGCGTTCACAGAGCTTTTCATTCTTCACATTATAATGAGTTGGGTGTGTAAAGGTATAACAAGACTTTTAAAAGAACTATCATTTCTTCCTGATGTCAGTTGACAGGAAAGAGAGAGAGAGAGAGAGAGAGAGAGAGAGAGAGAGCGAGCGCTGTTGAGGGCTCTAGCATATTAAATATTCATCCTTGATCAATTTACAGGAATTAGCCATCCAAGACATAGCCTGTACATAGCCCTCTCTGATCACTCCTTCCCACTTCTAGCATGCTGGCTATGTGTTAAGCTACCGCTGATTTGACCTGGAACCTTCTGGAAAGGAAAGCTACTTTGATGAACTAAAGGCTCACATGTTCTGGGATTGGTTTGCGACTGCAATGTTTATTGTACATTAAGACACTTAAAAGCTCTAGGGTGATTAGAACAGAAGATGGGGAGTCCTGTTGACACTCTGAGCTCCTAGAACCTTTCTACTCCCTCAAGTCATTAGATTGTAATTCTACAAGGATCTTCTTTTTTTTCTCCCAGTCACCTCTCCTCCAATAATTACTAAGAACCTACTATGTATCATCTACCATGGTAGACATTAGAGATGCAGAAATGAATAAACCATAGTTGTTTCCCTCAAGGAATGTATAGTCTGCTGGAGGAAACAAATTCTAAAACAGATCATTCCTGTATAGAATGACAAGTGAGCTCTTCTAGAATGTGCAAGGTTTTACAGGACTGTGTGAAAGAAATTCAGAGCTCTGACTGGGTATAATATTAAATTTCATGGTTCAAATTTCCTACAGAATACAAAGGAATATTTAAAATGGACATTGCTTAGGTTCAGCAGTTGAGGAGATGGAATTTATATTCCTTGTGTGCATCCTATTCTGTAAGGAATATTTGATACTTCCAACCCTGGATGAGTATGTGTGGTGACTGAATTGTGTCCCCTCAGAAATATGTTCAAGTCCTAACCCTTGGTACCTATGAATGTGACCTTATTTGCAAATAGGATTTTCACATATATAATCAAGTTAAGATGAGGTCATATTGGATTAGAATGGGCCTAATCCAATGACTGGTATCCTTATAAGAAGAGAGGAATTTGGACACAGACACACATACAAAGAGGAGAACAGCTTGTGAAGATACAGAGCACACAGAGACAGGGGAGAACACCAGGTGACAATGAAGGCAGAGAGTGGAGTGATGCATCTGTAAGCCAAAAAATGCCAAAGTTTGCCTGCAATCACCAGAAGCTAGGAGGAGCCAAAGAAGGATCCTCCCCTAGGGTCATCAGAGAGAGCATGGCCCTGCAGATACCTTAATTTCGGACTTCTAGACTCTAGAACTGTGAGACAATAAGTTGCTGTTAGTTTTAAGCCATCCAGTTGTAGTTATTTTATTATGGCAGCCCTAGGAAACTAACACAGATTTTGGTACTGGGAATTGGGGTGCTGCTGTAACAAATACCTAAAAATGTGGAAGTGGCTTTGGAACTGGGTAATGGGTAAAGACTAGAAGAATTTTGAGACACATGCTAGAAAAAGCCTAGATTGCCTTGGACAGAATGTTACTAAAAATATGAACATTAAAGGTCTTTCTGGTAAGGCCTCATGTGAAAATGAGGAACATATTATTGGAAACTAAAGAAAGGTAATACTTTCATAAGGTAGCAGAGAACATGGCTGATTTTGCTCTATTATCAGGTGGAAAGTAGACCGTGTGAGCAATAAACTTGAATATTTGACTGAGGAGATTTCCAAGCAAAATACAACAGGTGCATCGTGGTTTCTCTTTGCTGTTTATAGTAATATGTGATAAGGAAGTGATACATTGAGGAAAGAAATTGTATTAGTCTGCTCAGGCTGCCATAAAAAGATACCATAGACTGAATGGCTTAAAAAATAGAAATCTATTTTCTCACAGTTTACAGCTGGAAAGTCCAAGATTAAGGTATCAGTTAACTCAGTTCCTGGTGAAGGCTTCCTTCCTGGCTTGCAGAAGGCCGCCTTCTCACTGTGCGCTCTTGTGGCTTTTCCTCGATGTGTGCATGTGGAGAGAGAGAGAGAGAGAGAGAGAGAGAAAGAAATAATATCTCTTTCTTTTCCTCTTATTATAAGGCCACCAATCCTATTGGATTAGGTCCCCACCCTATGACCACATTTAACCTTATTTGCCTCCTAAATGTCCTATCTCCAAATACAGTCCCATTAGGGGTTAGGACTTCAACATATTAAGTTGGGTGGAGGGAACACAATTCAGTCCATAATAGAGAACTATTAAGCAAAAAGTCACCAGAACTAGGAGATTTAGACAATTCTCAGCCTATCTATATTGCAAAACACAAGAAAGTGTGCCCTGCAGAGAACACCAAGGGTGTGGCTGGACAAACTTTTGCTGGAGAGATTAGATGTGGGACACCTGGCTCCAATTACCCATTTCAGCAGAACACTGTCAGCTTGGACTGAACTTGGACTGAAGGGGACAGATATGGGATAAAATGAAGGAAGGTTGTCTGACTTCGGCGATTCTATAAGCATGATACACACTGGGAAAGTGACTCAGCTGTGGACATGTGTTATCCTTCAAGAAAATGGAAGAATGACTTACAGAGGTAGCTCAGAGGCCAGCAAGGCTGCTGAGGGAGGCTCAGAGGGCCAGAGGTGCTACTGCTGCACTCACAGGCCCAAAGAATGTGGGCCTCAGAATGTGTCCTTGGTTCCAGAGGGTGGAGTTATCTCCTGGGTTCCAGAAGGTGGGGGATACCTCCTTGGTTATGCGGGGGATTGTGGGTGGATTGACACTCCAGTGGGCTAAGAGGGTAGGGCCAGAGAACAGAACATCAAGCCACAGATAATTATTCTCAGGCCTGGAAAACCTGATGGAATTTACCCTGCTGGGTTGCCAATTTTCTTTTAGACCCACAACTTTATTCCTTCCATTTTATCCCTTTCAAAATGGGAATGTCTGTCCTATGTCTGTCCCAGCACTGTATTTTGGAAACATCTAGCTTGTTTTCTTGGTTTCACAGGTCCACAGATAGAGAGGACTATCTCCCAGGATGGACCATACACAGAGTCTCACTCATACCTGATTTAGATTATTTAAAAAATGATATTTTGGACTTAGATTTAATGCTGGAATGTGCTAAGGTTTTTGAGGATGTTGAGATGACAGTGAATGTATTTTGCACACTGGAAGGACATGAACTTGGGGGAACTAGAGGGTGGACTCTTGTGGATTGAATTGTGTCCCCCCACAAAGGATATGTTCAAGTCCTAATGTCCAATACCTGTGACTGTGATTTTATATGGAAGTAGGGTCTTTGAAGATATAATAAATTTAAGATGAGATCACACTATATTATGGTGGGCCTCAATCCAATGACTGCTATCCTTATAAAAAGAGAAATTTGAACATAGATACATACAGAGAGGAGAACACCATGTGAAGATACAGAGGGAACAGATACAGGGGAGAATACTATGTGATAATGGAGGTAGAGATTGGAGTGATGTGTCAGCAAACTAAGGAACACCAAGAATTACCAGCAACCACCAGAGGCTAAGAAGAGGCTAAAAAAAATTCTCCCCTAAATCTTACAGAGAGATCATGGCCTTGTTGACATTTGATTTCAGGCTTCTAGCCTCCAGGACTCTGAGAAAATAAATTTCTGTTGCTTTCAGCCACAAAATTTGCAGTAATTTGTTATAGCAGCCTTAGGAAACTAATACAGTATGCCATTACAGGTCTTCTTACTTGTTGGCATAGATTAAAAATCCATTTTGAAGACAGATTTAAAACTGTGGCATGCACACAAACCACTGATCAGTAAATGCTAAAGAAAGTAGTTTTCTTTAAAGCTTTCAGTGTGTGGTCGTTGGGTTTTGTGTTTGATTTTTACCCTCTCTAAAATATTTAGGTGAATATATTCATGCAGCCCATTGCTCCAATCAGATTCTTAACTTGCAATGGACTGAATGCTTGTGTTGAAATCC